ATTTTTGAAAAAAACGAAAAACAAAATGAATAAAAAAACACCACTGTCAATCATCAAGAATTATTTTTACCTTGGTAACACTTGTGTTGTATCTCATTTCCAGTTCTTCAATTGTAATCTCATGGTCGTCCTGCAGGAGGAGACACAGGGCGTCATTGATTCAGGACACTTGTGAAGGACAGATCAGAGTGAATGAAGGTGATTTATTCAGAGCCGGTTGGTTGAAGCTTGGTCATAACTTCACAGTGGCTTGAATTACTTTTTCTTACAGAGATTACATCTTCTCACTACTGCGCAGCCCTGAGGCTTCTGTTGTATCACCTGTAAATCACAGGTTTATCTATACAATACATAACAACACTCATTACCACTGCTGTTTTCCATTGCTGTTTTTTTGCCAGACAACTTTCATTACTCACAATATCCATTTCTTTCTTCATGCCCTCCAGTTTCTCCTTTTTCTTCATCTTTTTATTCTTCTTCTTGTCCATCTCTCCATCCATCTCGAACATATTGTAAGCGTCCTAAATGCAGGCAGAAATGGCAAAAATATTAATATGCATATTTTTATACAGAAAATCTACCTGTCTGTCCAGACGGCTTGATATTCTTGATGATATTGATACCAGAACTAAATAAAATGTATTTTTTTCCACATCTGCTGTATGTTTGTCAAAGGAACTGCTTACTTAGTGCACTGTATGTGAATATGTGACAACTGGTTTGGTTTGTAGTTGTAGTTAGTAATAAAACTAATCCTGACACCTCATATATTGGAGTACATACATTATGTCCATGCCAGTCAAGGAAAACAAATGCAATGAGAAAGAAAGGCATACGACTGCAGTATTTTGTTTTAATTTATGCATTCGTACTAACACCATAACAAAGTGGAAGTTTGGTAACTGACTGACCTAAAGTATAATAATTAATATAATATAAATGATTATAAATTGTAGTACAAAGAAAATACATTTTTATAGAAGATAATTGTTGAACTTTTTTCATTTCTACAGTAGTGTGTGTGCACTATATAACAACTTGCACATTAGCTTTTTTTTTGTTTATCTGATTTAGTCTTTGTTTTTATGTAGAATAAATTAGAATATTTGCCTACTTTTTTCTTAACATTAATTAAAGACGTGTCTACTGTCTCCCACAATTAATGACAAACACGCTGAATAGTGATCATCTAATCAGCTGGGTCTCCTACCGTTTTACTCATGGTTGCTGATGTGATAGGGGACTGCTCTCCCAAATCAATGGAGGTCCAGACCACTCGATCTTTCTTCACCCCCGAAATTTTGGCTGTCAGCTAAGCTCCGGTCCCAGACATGCACCCTGTTTCTCCCTCTCTCTCTCTCTCCTTCACACACACACGCACACACACATGCAATGGTTAGAAACAGGACACATTTTCTGGAAAAGCCTTTTATACCTGAAACTCCCCTTTTCATATACACATGCGCACAAACATCTCTGGACACACACACACACACACACGTTGAAACACGCAGTTAAATACGACCATCTGCGTAAAATGGTACCTCCAGTAGTAACAATGTCACCCCTAGCCAGGTCACACACAACACGCACTTACATATAAATACATTCATATCACAAGCTATGCGTAGGCTAGTGTTTCTCTGCTATCTCTTATCTCTCCACAGCACGTTTCTTTTCCTGATAAACTGATTGGACGAAGGAGCTGTGAAGGTTAAAGCGGACCAATGTCATTTCTACCAATCTGCCTGACATTGCAATGCATCAACTTACACCAAAAGCTGCACTACACAACTACAGTCTGCTATTGGTCATCGAGTCATGCTATAGGTCGAAATGGGATTGATAGAATGAGTATTAACTGAGACAAAGTGACTTCATAAGCCCAGGGAAAATTAGTCATCTTTACTGCTGCCGTATGAGCTGATGGACAAAATGCACCCTTAGGAAATAAGACAGAGGAACTCAAACCAGCAGGCGCAATCCACAGCCTGACAGCTGTGCCACTCAATCAGACAGTCAGTGATGCACTGCAGCACTATTAAGCCAAATACAAAGGGAGAAGACGTCAGGGAGAGAATAGCCTGCAGCTGAAGTTAATCAGCCTGTCACACCTACTGCCAATCCCAGCTCCTCAGCAAAGCTGTAACAGGTAGCCTCAGCCACAGAGGCAGGTTAATGGTGTCAGGATGTCCTCCTGCAGGTTAACAGATGGTGTGATCACTCTGGTGACCACACACTCCTTCTGTCTGAACCCATACCCTCCTCTAGAGCTTCTACCCCTCACTACCACCACGTTTGATTAATACATTCCTGTTCGCAGGTGTGCAGGTGCACCTCATTTGTCATGTTGTCTGGTTGTGATTCCCGGCTGTTTCCACGACAACTCACAAAATAAAAACATAGTGCACTATGATTGGAGAAAAGTTTTGATGTGCACAAAAGAGGCATCCTCTCAAGGCAACAAACAAGACTGAACCGTGCCCCATAACCCTATGTTGTGTTGTGTATGTTTTTATGCATTTATATGTAATTCACTCTTACATTGCAGGACACAAAACTATTCAGGGTCTAGTGTACATGACTGAGAACCACTGTTCAGAGTAAACAAACAGCTCCACACTAACTACAAGGAAGCAGCGATAAGATGACGTACAAAAACAAGGATGAAAAGGCAGTCGAGAGAAACAGGGAAAGGGAAAGGAAATTAAAGATTCGCAAAACAGTATAATTTTGATCTATCATCTGCTGATATTTTAACTTACTCATTAACATGGCTATGAAAGCTTAATGACTAATCAAGAAAAGATATTCAAGTTTTCCCACCACATACAGCTCTCCTCTAATCGGCTCATTTACAAACAACATAAGAATCAGAAAAGATCCTATACTTAGTTTCATCCATTGTTAGTCTCTGTGTTAAAAGATCTGCCAATTACTATGGGAGTGACATATGGTTCCAATCCTAAATTGTGAGTTTTGGTGGCTTTCAGATCACAGATTTTACTTTCAGTGAAGTAAAAATCCATTATGTGAATGATTAATCAAGAATATTAAGAACACAGGTGTTTATTCACATCCAGGCGCAGCATTCCTCTTTTCTGAGCCAGGGCGTTGATGGTGCCATTATATCAGACATGCATCAGCAGGTCTCTTCTTCTCAGATGTTAGAGATAAGATACACTGTTAGAAATGCAGTGACACAAATTACAGTTACTCCATCATAAAATACCAGGTCATTAGTAATATTGCCTACTTGTAAAGAAATATTCCACCCAAACACACACATATAACTTACTCATTTAAATACTGCAAAGTAAGACAAATTACTCTACCACACAGGAACAAACATTCATTTAAAAAAGCATGATTCCAATACATTGTATAATGAACTGGTATAAGAGGAAGAGTAATGAGTAAAAATTGAGCTAAGGTCACCCCGTCCCTTAAATGTTCCTTCCCAGAACATGTTGCATGCTGGGTAAATAACAGCCGGGTAAGATAAGTTGTGTTTTAGAGAGTCAATATTGTACTGCACTGTATACTGTAGAGTGACAGTACAATCAAAGCAATGTTATCAGCGTGGTTTTATCAGCTGTAATGACACATTAATGGGGTTGACAGGTGAGTAGGGAGTGAATAGAGGGGATGATGGGTAACAGAGAAGAATGAGAGACAGGGATATAGATAGAGGGACCAACACACATACCTTAACACACACATTAAAATGTTCTTCCTAACCTCAGTAGCTAAATTAAAGGGTTCACCCAAATCACAAGAAAGCTAAGTGTGTGCATTATCAGTAACAGGGACATAGTCTCTGGAAAAGACATGTTATGATTTGAAAATTTAATTTGTGAAGGAATTCTTAAGAAAGGTCTAAAGGAAGACGTTATTGAGTTGCATTGCATCATTTTAAACGTCAACCCAGCATTTCTGGACTTTGAGGAGTCGAGAGATATCCAGGTCTCCTAAGATATCCAGTCAGGATATCTCAACGTCTTCTGCTTAGATTTTTAACAAGTCTTTTTAAAATCTGTCTCATGCAAGTAGCCCAGCTTTAACAACATGCAATAGCTACTAAATTGTTGGTGTGACCCTTTAAAATACTTTATTCTAAGCTCATACAGTGCATATTCTTAAATAAATTTGTATTCAATTAGTGGGGTCCAAAAGAAGGCCCTCCTATTCTCTATTAAGGTTAGACTGCATTTGTTTCAGCTAACATACTCAATTACTGAATAAGCCCAATATCCCCAATACAATTGATTCACTACTAACACCTACGGATCAAACCAGAGCAGGAATGTATGGAGCCCCTCAAGGGTCATCATTTAGAATAATTATTGTTTTAGAAGCAGCATTTCTTTCATTTGCAAGGCTTCATTAATTTCTCAATATCTCAGAGAGCGAAGTATTTGGTGCCATCGATGTGTTTAGAGTTGGGATAATGTTTAAAGGTTTAAATGTTTTCTTACTTTGCTGTTAAGGAGCGGATGCATTATTCAGTAGAACCAACTGTAGCTACCAAGTAGCCTGATGCATCCCCTATAATTTCATTTTAGGCCATTATTAAATGCCTGAAATTGATAGAATCGAGCGACAATTGCCTAAAATATGAAACCCGTGTGACTGATAGATCTTCAGAAATAAAGATACAGTGTGGATGAATTAATCGGCAAAAGTGTTTTTTTATTACTTGCTGAAATGTATTCACATGGATGCTCACCTAAATATTTTCTTTTTCACAGCACATGGCCGCTTGGGGCTCCGTAGTAACGCGACTTGTGACAGTAAACTAGGCGACTTGCCTTACAAAGAAGACACTGGTTGAAAACTCCACCTAAGGCTACCGACCTCATACCACCGAAATATAAACCACCGGAAAAAAACAATAAACAAAAAACCTTTTAATCGACTTCAGATCAAAATTTAGTGGCAATGAGTCGAACCAATTACAGCTGCGTACGCCGATCACGTGACACCTTGCAGCAAACGTCATCTTTCCGCGACTATCCCTGACGGACAGGTCCATGTGAACATCTTTGACCGAAGTTATCTCTTTCTACAGGTAAGTAACATATCGCTGTGATGGTGAGATCGGATCGGATTCTGTCTTTGTAAATAAAGCTGAGTGTTGTGAGGGGAAAAGAGTTCACGCGCTGCTGGTGGCACGCGTTTCCCAGCGTCTCTTCCCTCCCGTGACAAGGTCAGGATTTAACGTTACATCACAGATCCCCTAGTTACATGTCAGTAGAAACATCCATACTGCCGGTTCATGTAACATCACCTTTACTGCAGGAGAGGTGTCGTTTCAGCCAAAGTTACTGTAACAAATATATCGCTGGTGTCAACGCAGCTACATTACTGTCATTGTGTGCCTCACCCTGCGTTATGGGTTACACAACCATTACAACCAACCATTACACTACATAAGAGCCCCATGTCTGTCATACCAGAGAAACATGGGTTAAATATTTGGTAGACATGAAGGTGAATATGTGACTGTGTGTAATTGTTGCTAAAGCAAATAGAGCAAACGAGGGTTCAGCTCATTGCTGACATGTGTCTTTCCTTTAGATTGAATGAGAGAACCTTTTCTCTGCTGTTCCACCCTTGGACATCATCTTGCCCCTCAGACAGAATGGCCAGCCGCCTCTTGGGCAGATGTGCCCGTCTGCTCTGCAGGGCCTCCTCTCAGGCTGCTGCTGCCCCGCGCCTGCCTCTGCCCGTGGCTTCGCCGGCAGAGGTGCTGAGGGCTCAGGGTTGGCCGTGGGTCACGGAGAGATTAATGTGTGATGGAAAGACAGTTGCCAAGGATGACAGCGTTCCAATCTTACCCACACTCACCAAGCTGGATGAGTTGGTGGTAAAGGCAGAATTACCAGAGGACGTCCTGCGGATCTGGGATGAGCACGGGAACAATAGTAATCAAGCTGCTAAAACTTTGATGAAGTGGGCTCTGTTGGTGATGCAGACGAAGGGCAAATTTACGGAGCTGATGGTGGATTCAAGGCTACAGGATATGATGAATACCTTATCTCGGCAGGTAAGGAAGCCAGACACGGAGGTGAACTGGCGCTGTCATCGTGTAAGATCATTAACATCTTATCCAAGTTCTTCTGTTAATATTAATTACTCATTTATCTGAGTGTTTTTCTTCCAGATATCTTCAGTGTGGAATGGCAATCTAGTGTCTGCCTTGCAAGCTCTCTGGATCATGGGTTTGCCCTCTGATGATGTAGTTCTCAGTTCTGTCCAGACAGAGGTCCTGTGGCGAGTGCGCAGGCTAAACCACAAGCAGCTGGGTCACCTGGCAGACTGGGGAGCAAAGAGGAAGGGACAGCAGGATATTGTATTAGTGAACGCTGCATTAAAACAACTGGAACTGCGCTGGACTGAAATCACTGATACTAAAACTGTAACTGGACTGATCACCAAAGGACAACGCATGTCACCTACTTTGAGAGACAGATTAGGGGAAAAGGTATCAGAGTTAAAAAAAAAAAAAAAAACATTACAATTGAACACAGTTAATGTCCCAGTTGAACCAGGTAGTTTGGGAACTAAATGTGAATTACTGTCTTTAAAAGCTTGACACTGTTTTTCTCTGCAGAATTAATTTACACGTAAAATGCAAGCATATAGTAGAAAATGTATAATAATGTCGCAATCACTGTGCAGGCTAGAATATACCTAAATCATTATGTCTGGAGAAAGTTAAGAAATCTTCTTCAAAACTACCTTTTGAAGAGGATGTTTTGGAGCATAAATCTAACTTTAACCTATGAGAGCTCCAGCAGCTGTTGGTACAATTGGTCCATAATCCTGAACCACACAGTGATAACCTTCCACCTGTATCTGATGCAGGCGTTGGAGCTTGCAGAGGGCTTTTCAACAGAAGAGATCTGCAAAGTCTGTGTGTCTTTGGCAGCTCAGAGCCGGAGATGTGTCCCGCTGCTCAGAGCTCTGTCCTACTATCTTCTCCAGAAGCCGTCGTCAGAGTACACCACTCCGCTCATATTGGACATGGCTTTTGCCTATGGTAATGATATTATATGGTAGCCATTAATGTTAAAGGCATGCATACACCAAATTAATTGCGGGAAGTTTCAAGCTAGACCTGTGAAGGGTTAAAGGGTGATGGACGGGGACGTCACCCCTGTTTGCTGGTGCTATATTTAGTTAGATTTAACACTGAGCTTTTCTGAGGTAATCTATGAAAGTCACTTGTTCTAGTCTTTTTAAATGAAAGTTGATTCTGTTGGTAACATTTTGTTTCCTCAGTACTTAACAAATCTTTTTATTTTTATATGTTTTGGAATCATAAATCTTAGTATGTACACCATTATGTAAGGCTTGTGGCAAAAAATCTCATGTGTTAAGCTTGATGTGTAGTGCAAATCAGAGGGGATTCAAGCACTGTCTGCTCAGTAACATGCTGTACAACGCTAACAGTATCATCTTTGTCTTTGCCCTTCTGTAGCGAAGCTGAGTTTCCATCATTCTCAAGTATTTCAGCGAATGGCCTCAGAGTTGTTGCCCAGAGTCCCTGAGCTCACCTCTTTTGATGTCACACGCTGTGCTAAATCACTGGGCTTCCTCAAATGGCTCCACATCCCTCTCTTCGAGGCCTTTGCTGTGGTCAGTCCTACACCTCCAAGACTAACTCTAATTCAGCTGATTTTGACAAGTGCTTATTCTTTAATGTCAGATAAACCACTATATATGTCTTGGTCACTGTGTAACTTTCTGTCTGTACATCTTTCATCAGCACTTCATGGCAAACAGTGAGAAGTACAGTGTCCTTCAGCTCTGTAATCTGCTCATGACTTTTGCCAGACTGGGCTTCCAGCCTAGCAAAGGAGAAGAGTTCTTTAACAAGGTACTAACGACACTGAAAGCTGCCTGTTGGCTTTACATTGGTTGCTTCTGCTTCTTCCTTGAATGTATGCCCTGTGTGTGTGCCTTTGTGTCCAGATTCACTCTGTGCTGGAGGAGTCTCTCTCTGGCCTTGAGCCCTTCCTGCAGACAGATGTGGTTTGGTCTCTGTGTGTGCTGCAGCAGGCCAAGCCCCACTACCTCATCCCCCTCACACAGCAAAATCACATCGCCAAACTGTCAGGTAAGACACAGAGCCGTGGGTGTTTACCCTGTGTGTTTTCGATGTGCATATTTATACTGTAAATATGCAGATACACACTTCGTATGAGTACAGGTAAGCACCCACATATTGCTGCATACGTCACTGTCAGTGAGAAACTCGCAGTGCAGCACCTGCTTCTCTTAACTGGGAGAGGCTGGTGAAAATGGTTCAGGCACTTGCTCTTGAGGCACAAACAATACAACATGACACTAGTACAACTAATCAGCATGTCAAATTCATTGTTAAGATTGACATTCAAATGAAATAAAAACCATAAGTAATAATGATAACGATAATGCCCACATTTTAAGAAGTTGGAACTTCTAATATATTCTCACTAGACCATAGTGCTCACAGTAACACAGTTTAATAAGCTTTTCTGAATGAGCCAATACTTTTGTCTTGCATCAGACATTCCTATTTTATCATAGGTTATTAGGTCCAAGTGTGGGGGATATTTTGTTTGGGAGCATAGAAATGATATGACTCATTTATGCATTCATTTGAAATACTGTGGTCTCTGAGGACTCTGGGATGTGAAGGCCAAAATACTATTCTGGCTCAGTAGATGGCAGTGCAGCTCCAATAGATTTCTGGTTAGAAAGACACATTAAACCCATTTTCTCCCAGATATAAAGCACAGCATTGATTACTAAAACAGTCTTCTTGTTTTTTTTCTGTCTACAGAGGGCAGTCCAGTCCGAGTGGAGAACTACCGGCTGAAGTTCCTCCACATTGTTGCTACTCTCCAATTAGAGCATCCCGGTTCCTCAGATTCAGATCCTCCATCCTCCCTGACTGCCCCACATGTTCCGGCCACCATCTCCCCCCTGCAGAGCAGTATAAGAGAGGCATTACAGACATTGGTGGGTGGGAGGACAGAGGCTGTTCGCACTGGGGTCGACACTGTGTTCGGATGGACTATAGGTGAGGGGACCGTGGTAGATCATAAATATGGTAGATTCGATTACATATATAATCACGCTGTCTTTTCCTGTCATTACTGGACATCTACTCCAAAAGCAATATTCAACACAGTTCTTTTTACAACTAACATGCCCTTCTCCATTCAGATGGTGAGCTGGTTGTGGATTGTGACAACAAACCAGTTGACATTTCAATGCTGAAAGCAACTCATCTACCCAGTGGAGGAGGAGACCAGGCTTTACCTGTCGGGTCACGCCGGTGAGTCATAGAAGAGAATCAAGTGTGCCTGGGTTTTTTTTCTCTTGCTGTCTTATGTTACTATGCTCTCTGTTCCACTCCTCTGCATCTGTTTTTTTTTTTTATTTTTATTTTTATTTTTTTAGGATTGCGTTCATAGCTTGGGAATTTCCAAACTTTGGCTCAAAGAGTAAAGACCTTCTGGGGCGGTTTGTCATGATGAAGCGACATCTTCAGTTGGCTGGCTTCATCACAGTGGAGGTAGGGATTTTGTCATGTGTTTGTCATTGTGGTTTACATACTTCAAAGTAAAAGCTTTTTTTTATTTTATTTTATTTTATTTTATTTTTAACAGTGATCAAATTATTTTCTCGATATAGGGTAAACTGAGCTCTTTGGTTTCCAGATCTGTTTCTCATGACACACATCAAAGCCAGTCGAAAAATAAATGTTCTAATGTGTTGTGTTTGTGATAGTGAGTGAACAGAGACAGAGAAGGTGTGCTGCTGCTGCTGCTGCTGTAGCTGTAGCTGTAGCTGTAGCTGTAGCTGTAGCTGCTGTTTCTGACAGGCTAAGCCCATGCAAACAATGGACCTAATACTTTGGTAGAGCTGAGTGTCAGGTGGGTCCCGCTGCAGTCAGTGGTATAAATAGAGCTCCAGCTGCAGCTCTGCCTCATCTAGGCCAATCCAAGCACTTTCACTCTCATCTGGGACAATCTCCTGAACCAGTAGTAGCATCACATCCCTCTCAGGTTTGCAGTGTTGCATTATGAATAGGTTAATAAAATGATCTTTACAGTTGCGTTTGCGTCTTAAGCTCTCACAGAGCATCTGTAATGAGGAGCTACTTGCTCATTAGCCTTTTAAAGAAATGTTTTACAAACCCTTCCTTTTCGTCCTCTTTCAGGTGCCGTATTATGAGTGGCTGGAGTTGAAGACAGACTGGCAGAAACTGGCGTACCTGAAGGATAAAATGGGGAAAGCTGTGGCCGAGGACATGGCCAAGTGAACTGGGCAAAGTCTTGATGAAATTTTTGCAGGCTCAGCTAAATCAGAGCTTTCCCAACCAAATGGGACCACAGGGAATACACACATACACCCACGTTCACACTTGGAACGGAGCAGCACTGCAGAAGAGCTCTCCCGTTCTTTATCAGAAAAAAGAAAAAAAGAAATCATATTTTCACTCTGGTTCCCTTGGCAACGTGTGGGGCTTTCCCTGTTTCCATGGTGATGACGAGCAAGAGTTTTGGAGCCAGAGAGTGACAGAAATAAACACAGTAATGTTCAGTTGAAATGATATGATCAAGGACAAGTCTGACCTGTCAAAACAGAACCACCTGGGCCATTTGTAGAATTTTGGCCGAAATGTTGTGCTTAATATCAGCATGTGAATAGATTGGAATAACTTAACTATCTCTGAATGTGTCTGGAGTCAGCTTGTGATGGAATAAATTGTTTTATTGCTGCTTTTTGTTTTTTTTTAATTCTCACCAGATTGACTAAAGCCCTTATAGGATTCAGATTCAGTATGTAGGGCAATGTGTGTGTGATACATGTGCACATTTCCTAAAGGGTTGTACAGTGTTCATACAGTGTGTATTGTATTTGGTGTGGTATTCAGACCGAGGATGCTTCATTTCACATCTAACAGCCAGTTCGCACACCTCTCTGGCGTACTGGTGTGTGTGTGCAAAGTGCATTAGTATTTTTAGCAAATATTTATTGGATCAGCACAGAGTAACAACTTGTTACTGTGTTCCTCCAGAGCTTAAGTAATTAATTTCTTTTTAGCAGCCCAACGTTTTGGTTATCAAAGGAATTCAAATCAATAAAGACAGCATGTTTGGGTAATGGACAAAGTCGTATTTAAAAGTTTCATTTCTTCAAGTACTCTGTTAAATTTGAATGTTTAATACATTTTTCTTTATCTATCGTCCATGTGCGTGTTTGTTAAAGAACAGCATTATCATCAAGGGACAAGGTGAGATGAACCCTTTGCCGGCCTGAAACTGCTTACACAACATCATGGGCAGCAGCAGCCCTCTGACTTCACAGGCTGCTAAGTGGCAAAAAGAAGAAGGCTGACTAATGCAAGCCAGGGCAGAGGAGAGAAAATGACTTAACCTGAGTGGGAGCCAAAGGATAACACAAAGCCAGAATGGCAAATGAGGTAACAGGAAACAACAAACACGAAAATTAATTGTTACTCTGATACACCATCACATGATCCAGAGGGCATGGTTCATGCTTCCTGATATTCAGGGATTAATGGATCAATTGATGGACTGTTGACAAAGAGCCAAGCTAGCACTTCCAGCGTTGAACTCCTTGGTCACAGTTTCCCCTCTCTGAACGGTTAGCAGTGGGCAATGTGTGTGTTCAGACAAGGCTAAGTAACAAAGGATATGGAAATATTTTACATTGGAAAGTCCCCTAGTAATAAAGGAAACAGCTTTATTGTTGTCCAACACATCAGATCAAGATTTTCTTTTTAAGATGGAAAAATGTGCCATTCAATATCTTTGAAATACTGTATATTCATCTGGTTTCTACTCTGCCTTTGCCCGATGCCTGAGGGGTGCTGCTGTGCACAGGACAACCACAACCTGAGAACAAGATGTGAGTTGAGAACCCACAAACACCTTTTCTTCTTTTTATGAGCAGTGATGCTTGTCAGCAGCCGTATTTGTTGACGTCAACTGGATTGCACGGAAGCCATTAGACATTATCCGGTAAAGCTACAATCACTTCTGCTGAGCTGGCACTCTATAATGGGAAGTTTTGGGTTGTCATGGAAACTACCATTGCTGATCATTTGGCTCAGTGCTGCCGCCCCCTTTATCTCTTTCTATTTCTATCTATTTTTCCCCCCTCACTTGTTATCTATAAAAGTAGAGGAAAACTGAAGAGAACATGTAAGAGTGCTGGAGAGGTGTTTAAGATGGAGAGCACAAACAGATGCTCTAGCTGCCCAAGGGAGAAATGTCTCCCTGTTGATTCCTCAGGGATGCAATCAGAGCAGGAGGCAGAAGGTATAATTAGCAGAATACTTTCAAGTTTTCGCCTCTGCCCTTTTTGCTCTCTTGTGTTTTGAGTTTCTCTTTCCTCTGTTGGTTGTGTTTTACGTGAAACAGCCTCCTTTTCTTAATTTCTCCATCCTCCTCTTGTTTTTGCAGTACCTCTACTTTCCTATAAAGTTGAGGGCAGCACTGAGAGAGCAGTGGAAATCTGCTGACATCATCTCCCAAGATCCAGTCATTGCTTGGCTGGGAGAGAAGGAGGTGGGGCAGAAAAGAAGGAGAGAGATACAGGAGGGAGGAAGGAGGAGGGAGGGGAGGCAGGAATTGGGCATCAAGAGAGAATACTGCAGCTCCCTCTCAGATTTTACGCACACACACACACACACACACACATATTCAGATGAACTGGATCATGAGGCTCTAAAACACACGCCCACAACAGCAGCATCACTGTGCTGCACCACAGAGAGAGAGACCAGCATATACTCCCATCTCTCACTCTCCATCTTTCTCTCTCTGTCTGTCTCATTCTGCCTCATACACACAAACACACACACACACACACACACAGACACGTGCTGCAGGGAAGATCTGAGTGTTGGGTCGCTGAGCATTCAGCCAGCCCCCCCCTCCCCTTCTTCTGCTTTCTCCCTCTCACTCTCTCACTCTCACTCCCTCTCCCTGTTCACCTTGTCTGTTCCGGCTGTATGGTTTATTGTTGCGTCAGAGCCAAAGAGAGCCAGCGAGAAGCATGCCGGGGGAGAGCACTCACAGATCTGTCCCCGCCGACAAGCATCCAGAGCAGGGAGCTGAGGAGACAGGGCTCCCTGGACCAGGTAGGACCTCTGGGGGTTGGGGATGGAGAAGGAAAAATTAGGTAAATAAGCAGATAGATATGATCGAAGACAAATTTCGGAAGAGAGAATAAAGATAGTGTAGAGCAAGTATGGTGTTAAATTGTTTGGGGCTGGAGGGAGAGTTAGCAGGACAGTAAGCATGGCACATATATAGTGACTTCTGGGCCAGTGAGTGTAAGGGTCTGTTAGATAATCACAATCTGCTTTAAACTGCCATGTGGAGAACAGTCAGTTTCAACCTGGGTCATTTCTGTATATCTGTTGACATGTGCAATGAGTAAGCTGTGATTCAGCTGCATGTTGTTTCCCCCTCAAGCTCCTGGCTAATAGCAGCCCCCCCCCCCAAAAAAAAGCCTCCACCCCAAAGCTATCAACTCCCACTCCACCTCTATGCACTTCTCAATACTAAAATGCCAATTAACAAACAATCTCCCATCTAAAATGCACCACTGACTTCCAAAAGCCTTTGTGCAAAATGCCCAGCCCCCATTGTCGTCAGAATCCCAGCACTGTCTTCCCCCACCCTTACCCCGGCCTCCTCACCCCTATCCGTCCTCTTGCTGCCCCATCTTCAGCACCCAGTGCCGCCCCAATCCGCACCCACATCCACATCTCTCCATCAGTTTAACAAGCTGTAAGGACAGCGTAGAGTGGCTCCTCCCTTCCCCCCAGCCTCAGCAGGAACATGACACAGCAGCATGGCAGAGCACTCTGTAGGAACACACAAACACAACCACACAAGAACAACAGCTTCTGGCGTTTTTATTTCCAACTGTTTTAAATTATCGTCAGCTATTGCTTATGTTGTTGTTAAGTTGTGAAATCATGAAATAAGTAGGCTAATTACACACAAATGATGAGAAGGACAGAGCAATGGTAGCAGGTAAGACTGGGAGATGAGAGATTGGGAAGGTCAAGATTTTATTAATGTCCCCTTAATTAGATTTTATTAATGATTTTATTCATGTCCCCTTAATTAGTCAGGCAATAATGTTCAGAGTGAAAATGACCTCATTGGATCAAAGTCTTGTGAATACGCTCCCTCTGACAATTACTGCATAATATAGCTTCTAGAGTTGTTGGGGGTACTATCGTAAACACCCGACAGTGATAATGGATAACCTATTAGTGAGAAAGCTGCCTCCTCTCTGCTGGAGATAGTTTACAGAGGTCTGCTGTTTTAGACACATTACAGCTTTAACTTCATCATTGCCCTCATCTGTTCTTAGGCTTGAAATTATTTTAAGCTCTCCTGGCCTGAATCTCGACAGAGGAGGGAGGAAAGAGAATTGTTGGATGCTCTGATTACGACTGGTGTTCTGGAAAAGGAAAAAGGAGAGGTTACAGAAGTGATTATGAGTAATAAGATGAGAGGTGGAGATGGAGAAAGACAAAGAAGCATATGAGACTGTTGGGGTGTCTCTTCTTCATGGCTCAGTCTGAGCAGTAGCTAAAATAGAGGTTCCCCGTTGGGGCTGACAGCGCTGCAGCCTCTGTGACGCAGCTCCAGTCTGCTCAGCTTGCTGCGGCCTACTCCTCGTATATGGGCAAGCCTGGTGCTCAGTTTCACTGCGTTCCCCCAAGAGGAGACTCCAAAGCTGGGCCAGGGAGGGAAAGAGAGGCTGACGCCCGTATTTGCTGCACTGAGTCTGCAGCTAAGAGGCAGAAGCTGACAGTTACTGTATGCTAACACACGTAATACATATCATTGGCCTATTTAGCAGCCAAAACTGCAGTTCCCACATTATGCAGTTCTTACATTTGATTCCAGTTCATAGCATATAAGGGAAGAAGATACAGTATTTCTAAATATGCTTAATATGTGTGTTGCTTTGCTTGATTTAGTATGTATAAGGTAGATGCCTTTTTATTAGGCCCTGAAGGAGGAAACAATCACATTGCATTGTACTATACATGTGCAGAAGTTGGCTTTTGTGCATGCTTAACTGAGCATCTTTCTGATTAGTGGCAGGTTTTAATCTCTGAGGCATGACTCAGCACACACACACAAACACACCTAGAGCTTGTTCTTGGGGCAATGATCAGGCAGGGCTGCTAAGTGCTGATGCTTGCATCCGCCATCACCACTGGCAGGACAGGAGAGCTGCGAGGGAGGAGAAGGAGTTCTAGTATTTGCAGAGAAAAAAAAAAAAAAAGAACATGGAGGCGAGAGAAGAAAGCAAAGAGATGCAGATAAAAGTGAAACAATGGAGCAGCATCTATATATATATTCATGTATAAAGCAGGGCCGGGGAGAGGATTAGATAGGGAAAGATTTAGAGAAATCTAAGGAATTGAGACAAAAGAGCTTCTGCAGAACAGGGAGTGAATCAGTAAGTGATATCTGAGTTCCTGGCAGAGCAAATGTTTTGTATGTGTGTGAGGGTGTGTGCATTTGTGGCTGGCACCAAGCTGAGCCACTTGTGTGTTATAATGGCCAATCAGCATGTGGCTTGAGGTCACCGTGGGAATGGCCCAGTTAAGAGAGCAACTGCCCTGTTCTCTCCTTGTGTGTTATAGAGAAACAGGCTTATGCCACATCCTCTTGGGCTGTTTCAGTGAATGTATAGTGTTGTGTTATGGTAATCAATCCGACTTAAAAAAACCATTAAAGATGATCAGTGGAACTGAAACTAAAGAAGAATACAGTCTTTGATCCCATCATCTCCCTCCTTCTTCTTTTCCTTCTTAGCTCATACTCCTACATGAGTCTCCCTCAATGCACCCCTGACCCAATTGCATTCAGTCATCCTGTCATTTTATCTCAGTGACTTCCCCATTACTGATGACTGTTATGAAAATGATAGGATGGTCTAGAAGGACAAGGGGACAGAGAACACTGTAATTCAATAAGAGTTCCTTTTGCCTCTGGCTAATTGTGCAATTGTGCAAGTTGATACAAAATGAGAGACAGAGAAACTCTGAGAGAAAACATTGTTTTCCAATTACATGTTTTGAGTCCTCCCTACAGTGGACCATTACAGGCAGCATTATTCAGTTTCAATTTTTTTTTCCAAAACTGGTGGCTTATAGTCTTTGTTTTCAGTCTTGGTGATTGTTTTGCTTTTCATTTATGGGGTTGGAGTGAAATACAGATATGAAAGACATTTGTTTAATCCTCTGACTGGCATTCTGGTGACATTTTTTGTAGCTCTCTCTGAGTTAGTGTGTGGGAGAAGAAAAATAAAGTTCAACTGAAGAGATGAAAAGTCTATTATTGTACACCAAAGGAGGTGTAGCCTTCCATATCAATAACAGATGATCATGTTGAGATAATTCAGTCAGTTGAATGACTCACGTCTTTGTTAAATCTTTACTACCGTTAAAATTTACCATAAATTTGTTCGTATTTCAAGATCTTGATGCAATGACTCCTTCCCTCTATTCAAACTGTTGTTCTACATTGCTTTCTCTGTTTTTCAGACATGACCAGACACCCATCTACTGACTCCACCCCTAGTGACAGTGGCTCCTCCCCTAGTGATTGTGGTTCTAGCCCTTCTCCCAGCACTCCTCAGAAGCTACTCCCAGCATGCACCTCTCCATTTGGACCACGAATATTTCATGCAACACCTAGTTCCTCTGGTTCTCCAAGACCTCAACCTGAAGGCTCTGACCATCGCAACAGCAACACGCCAAAATTGTCGGGAAAGTTAGGTGGTCATGGACCGTGTGGCCGCCTCGTCCCTGTTAAGATGGAGAGAATCAAGGTGTGTGTTATGTGTGTATGAGCATACTTGGATTTTTACACAAGATATGCTACCATACTTTAATATGTATGTATAATGTGTTATTCCAGGTCCTGACCGGGTCTGAGGTGGAAAGTGATTACCAAGAGCCACAAACCATTGACACAAGGGTGGTGATGGGTCAAGAGACACTGCTCAAAACAACAGAGATCCAGAAAGGGAAACCCGTGGTTGAGCCGAGTGGTCAGGCTATCCCTTTGCCGGCTATCCCAAGCTTTTCAGATCCTCAGGCACAAGCAGAGGAGACTCAGCTGGAGACCAGCAAAGAGGAAAGCCGAGCCCAAAGCCCTCAAAAACAGAAGGATCAGCAAAAAGACCCTGTGCAGCCCCCAGCCACACTACCTTCCCCTTTTCACAAACCCCTGTTACCTTCCCCATCCTCCCCAGAGCCTGTCACGACCAATGACAGTTTGATAGACAACCAGGAAGAGGTTCAAACCCTCTCTGAAAACGAAGTGCCTTCCCTCTCTTTTTCGGAGCTTGCCTGTCCAGTTGCTTTGTCCTTCTCTGAACCAGCCTATGCTGTTGACCCTCTACGAGTGGGTGTGCCCTCATCTCTTGACCCTGACTTGTATTATACCGCCCCTTCCACCCCAATCAAGATGGCTTCCCGCTCTTCACACCTTAAACATCATTCATATCCTGGCTCTCCAGCCTCCCCGCTCTCCCCTGGTTCTCCCTCAGACAGCGAGGACCTGTGTTCCCCTCTCACCTCTCCCTCTGGTTCTTATATCACGGCGGAGGGAGGCAGTTGGACCTCCTCTTACACATCTTCCACCTCCCCATCCACTTCTCCCAATCTGCTCCTCACAGAGGAAGCACAGGAGGCCCCTGCTTGCTTTGTGAGCTCCTTATCAGAAATTGGAGATGAAGCTGGGGAGGAAAAGGGACAAGTGGGACCAGAACGAGAGGAGGAAAGGGCAGGGGACTTCTGCCTGTACCGCCCTGAGGATTTTGTCAGGAATTCACGGATAGGTATAACAGGGACAGTGATCCTCGAGGAGGAAGAGGCTGTAAAAGGGGAAGAGGTCAAGATTTCTAGAGAAAGTTGTCGTCCATGCTGGGTGACTGAGGATACATCCCCTCTAAGGAGCAGTAGTAGCCGTAGCAGTGACTCCCAGGAGGATGGAGGAGAGTCTGAAAGCTCACTCTGCCCATTGGAAGAGGCTGGTTCAGACAGAATAGAGTACCCTAGACCCATGCAGACAGGCTTGAAATTGCAACTGGAGGCATGCATATCAGATGAACACTATGGACAGATGGATGACCACCCACAACTACCCTCCACTGCCTTGACTCCTGACATAGAGAACATGACCATGGCCTCATCTAGTCTTAGCCCTGACTCCCCTCTCACCCCCCTGGATGCCTTCTGTTCCGGAGCCTTCGATAGGCTCGGCCCCAGTTCTTTCATGATCTCACAGGCCGCTTGCGCTGATGATATACCAGAGGAGGAAAGGATGATCCCTGCCTCCCTCATCTCCTTCCCCCTCCACACTAGCCTTATCTTTAAGGCTGATTCAATGGAAATCACCCTCTTCCCCACAGAGGAAGAGAATGAAATTGAAGTTCATGACAGAAATGAAGGGAAGGATGTTGATGCATATGCAGCAGGAGAGGAGGAGGGAGATGTTGAAGATGATGACGATGATGACGACGATGACGATGATGATGACGATGACGATGATGATGATTACGATTATGATGATGATGGTGATGGCAATGCTAACGGTGCTGCTGATGGTGAAGACGATGATGAAAATAATGAAGATGATGACGGTGACGAGCACGATGAGGCAGGTGAGGAAGCCAAGGTGGAGGTGAAAGTGGTGGAAGAGGAGGAAGAGGAGGAAGAGGAAGAGCAGGACGATGATGATGTGGAGGAGTGTGATAGCAAAGCAGTGGAGGATCCTACAGATGAGGACAGCTCAGCATCGTTCCTTCATTCACTTTCAGACACATCTATCAATGAGGGGTTGGACGAATCCTTCTGTTTTCAAGATGATACAGATGACTCATTAGATTCCGCCTCCTATAATGGGGAGGAAGATGAACGTCTATACAGCACTGAGAGGCATGCACAATCACTAGAACCCACAGCTTTGGATGCACTTGATCCGACTGACATCCAAACAGAACCTGAACAGGGGTCTACCACTGAAACAGGTCAAGCTGAAACTTTGCACACACAACTGAGCACAGACGAACAACTGGATCATTCCGAACCCCCCTGTCTTTCTGAAGCCAATGGCGCCCACCCCTTGGATAACAATTTAAAACCCAAACCTCTGGATGAACCTGAACCCTGTGAACCTCAGCCAGACCCTCAACCAGAATCTACCAGTGGAATAAGTGAGACAGAACCTTTCCACACACAAATGAGCACAGAGGAACCAGTGGATCACCAGACACCGATCCTTTCTTCACAAGCTATTTCTTGTCAACCAGAGTCCTCCAGCAACCCAAACAACACTGGGAGTGAGAGTGAAATGATAGATATCTCTGGTTCTTCCGACCCTCTTGACGAACCTGAAGACAGCCCTCATGTTAACCCCTCCACCGCCCCTGTTGTCATTCAGGCTCCTCCTGACCCAGCTGATGAGTTCCACACCTCTTCTCTTGCTGCCGTTTCCACACAGGAGACAATTGATCTAAACAGTTCCCTTCCTCTGGAAGAACTGGCCGAGGAAAATCCCCAGATGACAGACACTGATTTGCAACAGAGCAATGACAATTCAGAGGAGGAATCCACCAAAGAACCAGAAAGGGACTCTTTCAAATTGCTCATCAAGCCTCGTAATTATCAGCCAGAAAGCCAAAGGACTGTTGGAGCAACTAGACTAGTGTTATCAAAGTCTTTCTCCAATAAATCTGATGTGCCCAGAGGGGCTGAGGCCATGTGTAGGCCCAGTATTCACAGAGATTCTGACATTGAGCTTGACCAGAAGAATGGGAATGCCTCAGCTGAGTCCATGAGTTTAGAGTGTAGAAGTTCTGACTCTGGTCCCTCTGTTAATATGGCCACTGCCACCAATGACTTGAATAAAGGTGTTCTCCTTCTTTCCTGCCCTAAAGACCCTAGTCCCAACCCCAGTAATATCCCTGTTTCTGTCTCTCCAGAGATCATCTCAGAACTTGCTGACAATCTGGCCCTGACCCCTGAACATTGCCCCAGTGACTCTGCCCAGGAGAACCTGAGGGAAAACACCCTGAGTACTGATGAGGGGGCGCTGGGAGCTGTTGGATCTCCACACTCCCCCCTTGCCATTTCACCCAAAAGGGAAAACTCAGAAACAGACACAAGCAAGGAGATGGTTCCTGGAGCTGGGGCGTGGTGTGATGACAGGATCGGGCTAGGGTTAGGTCTAGGATTAGGTTCGGGGGCTGAGTTTGGTGTCTGGGGAGCAGGAGAGTCTCTTTCCCTGTCTCTGGGGAAGAGGTATGAGTTAGAGGCAGAGAGTCTGCTCATGTGTGACACAACGGGCCAAAGCACACAGACGGCTGTGGTTCCCAACATGAGCAGTGAAGTATATAAAAATTATGACAATGATCTGGGTTCTGTTCTGGATGAGGAAGATAACAACAGTCTGTGTGGAAAGAGGGACCGGATGGCAGATGAAGAACTGGTAGAAGAAGAGGGAGCGGCTGAGTCCAACTTGGCCCGTTGGAAGTCCATTGAGGAGATCTCAGAAGCAGGTGGAGGAGAGGATGGAAGCTCCAGATTCCCAGAGGACGATGTCAGTAATCTAAATCCAGACAATGATGGAGATAACACAGACACAACAATACAACACACTTGGAAGAATTCTAACAATAACAATGACTCTGCCTTTGACTCTTTGGAAGTAGCCATGTGTGGAAGTCTGAATGCTCTATCAGAGGAAGTGAGACCCCAGAGTGTGAGTGTCAGTGTTAATGAGTCTGTGTCTAATATTCCACTAGAAGAGATGCCACCTCAGGTTTCTGACACAGTTGCTGATGAAGAGCAGGAATCGACAGACGGCTCCATAAACCAGACATCAGACACATCACAGGCACCATCCTCAAAGGAAGGTGTCTGTAGCATCTCAGTGCCATTCGTTGAAACTCACATGGACCCAGCTGCAACAAAAAACCACTTCGATTTGGCAGATAAATCAAGATGCCACACTCGTCCAGAGTGTCAGACAATCACTCCAGAGAGTAATACAGCATTTTCTTTGCTACATGGATCCTTTGGTTCCTTTACTCCTAAATGTAAATCTAATGACTCCAGACCAAGGAGAGCTTGCAAAGACAAGGTGGAAAATACTGGTGCTCTGTCAGAACCAGAGATTGTGAAGCCTCAGACTGAAGGTCAAAAGAAAAGCGATGTGACTGACAGACTTGTCGATGAACCAAAGACTAAGGATACCTTCAAAGAACAGCCATGTGTTGTTTGTGACTCAGGGGAAGAAGATGATGAACAAAAAGTGGAAGAGAAGGGAAAAGAGAGAGGTGAAGAGAAAGATGAGGAGAACAAAAAGGAAAGAAAAACCTCTCCTGTACAGAGTAGCCCAGAGCACTTTTTGTGTCACACCCCTAAAGGGGAATTTTGCACAGATAAACCAACTGCTGCTAAGAAAGGGAGGAGAGGGAGGCAGAACAAGCACAGGGCATCTCAGAGAGACAGTCACGCCGACTCTAGCCCTGAATCTGTTGGTGATCCAAAGAATGATGATCCATTAAATACCACAGCAGATGGGTGGTCAAAGGGGATTGCAGACAATTCTAAAACTAAGGCAGGTCGAAAGGCAAACAACAAAGCTTCATCAGTGGACTGTCAACAGAGGACATCTGAGACGGACAAAGCAGAGTCTAGTTCACAAATGCAGGTGGATAACAGTCCCAGTTTTGATGTCAAAAGTCCTACCCACGGACACTGCAATTCAAACATGCATACCCCAGACAACCTCAATGCTGTGGTGGCACTGAACCAAGAATTACAACAGAAACAGGAAGTGCTTGATAACAGACCACTATCTGATAGTCAGAGAGGAATTACAGTAGACATTAATGACAACAACATAGATACTGGCCACAGCACGCTTACCCAGGATACCATATCATGCTCTCTGACTCCACTTCCTTCCTCACCATCTCCTGATTCCTCCTCCTCCCCTATACCTTGTGCCTCAACAGAGCCAGAGGGAGATCTTTCCACACCTGTGCAGGAATCCCAACCTGTCCCCTCAGCTCAGCAACAGTCTTCAATATGCCACACCACTCCTACCGTTTGCTCTACCCCCACCCCCACAACACAACAACCCCCAGATTCCCAAACTCTTCCTAACAACGACGATGACGACGACGACGACAACGACGACGTCCAGGAGGTCGCCGTTGTCCTCTCTCCATCAGCTCCATCTGCCACAAGTGTCTCGTCACCTTCATTCTTCACTGCCATGCCGTTAAGCCTGTCCCAGCCTACCCAGGAATCATCTACACCTGGGTCAGGGGCTCAAGATTCAGCATGTGTTCCAGACTCCATTCCCTGTCCCCAGTCTCAGTCCTCTTCGCCTAATCTCAACACCCAGTCTCACAAACAAATCAAGCAAGGTCGCACATGGAGCACACAAGACCGGTGCAGAGGTGAGTACAGAAATTATGTCTAGTTAGATTGATATCACAGCGCAATACACACTGAGGAATTACTTAAACTTTTGTTACAGTCAGTTGTGGTGACAGTGAAAAAGTGCTTTGCAAGTTGAGACTGTTATCATAAAGAAAAAATGCCCACTATATTCCCTGGTCTGTTGGTTTGAGGGTTTGTTGTGTGAAGTGTGTGGCTCCTAATACAAATATGATCAATGATTGTGTGGTCTGTAAGGTCCGAGTTTGGCTGAGGAGGAGACAGACAGTGAGGATGATGGTGGACTGCCTCGACGTGGTCACAGGTCCCAGCCCAGAGGAGTCGTAGGAAACAGAAATGGATCGTTGCAGAACGAGTCTGGTCCATCGAATAAACGGGAGATACAGCCTTTCTCTGGCCACCAGATAACCGACAGGCAGTCGGGCTGTCCAATCAACCACAGCCATAAGATTTCTGAAGAGATTGACTTATCCTTCAAAAACAATTGTGAGTTGTTTCCGACTCCTGCGTGAAAAAGAAATCCCCTAAAATTCTTTTGCTTTGGGTTGTACACTCCACCCCTTCTTTCCTTTGCCCTGTTTCCATCTCTCTTTCTGTTTGCACAACAACAATCACTGTTACTCTGTATTACATTTAGTTGTGTTTGAATATGAAGTTATCACACAGGACAGAGTGTCCTAACACGGCTATGTTTTTCTCACAGATAACATCACAAAAAACTCAGCTTTACAAAATTCACTGTTTGAATTATGGATGACACTTTCCCTGAGCTTTTCCATGTCAATGTCAAAGGCACCTTGCGTACAATGTGAAATCATATAGTATTAGGATATAATTAAATTTATTTTCCGTAGGCTAATTCAATTCCCTGGTGTTGATTAGATGAGCTTTTGAATTTCATAATGAACACTCTCCATCAGCATAACACTAATGAGACAGACTCTCATCACTTCTACTATGGTGATTAGTTTCTATGGCAGTAAGGATATGATACCCTTCACTTACCTGTATGTGTGTTGAATATATGCTTGTGTAGGCTCCATATTGGCTTCCTGTAATGAGTCTGAGAGTGAGGGGTCAGTGCCTGAGCTAGAGGAGCCGGAGCCACTGAGACCATCAGAGCCCCAGGTGAGGCAATTCATGCTGCTTTTAGGAAACATAAGTAAAAACAGATTATCTGTAATTGCTTACACAGTGACAGCCTGAAACATGTCAATTTTCAGTTGCTGAAGTTCAAGAATTTTTATGCTTGTCATGATAAGCTCTTTAAACGCCTGTTTCTGCTGTTGCTATAAACATAAAACCACTTCCCTTGTGTGCAAGAGAAAACAGAATCGCCTGGCAACAGCAAAATAGTGTGTACAACCTTTCTTTGTAGAAAACCTAACTGGGTGCAAGATTGTACTCATCTTATGTTTATGTTACTTTTGGTGATATCAGCCAAATTGACATATGGCAAATGAGTAAAATGTAAATATAAAAATATCAAACATTACTATAGTAAAGTAACTGATATTAGGTTTTTCCTTCAGTCTCTCTCCTCTGCAGATGAAGGGCTGAACAGACCAAAGCAGAGCCGCAGTGAGAAGAAGGCTCGCAAGGTCAGACTGCCTGTATAAAAATACATGAGTAAAGTAGTCAAAGAAAATATTAAAGCTTTATTGTGTAAGTGTATATGAAATCAGTGTTTAATTTATGCTATTTTGGTTTTATTTCTCACTCTTTCTGCTGCTGTATGTGTATGCAGGCCATGTCTAAACTGGGTCTAAAGCCGGTCCATGGTGTGACCAGAATCACCATTAGGAAGTCCAAGAGTATCTTGTTTGTCATCAGCAGACCTGATGTCTTCAAAAGCCCTGCATCAGACATTTACATTGTATTTGGAGAGGCAAAGGTAAGGCTTTGTTTGTTTGTTTGTTTGTTTTCTTTCTTTCTTTCTTTCTTTCTTTCTTTCTTTCTTTCTTTCTTTCTTTCTTTCTTTCTTTCTTTCTTTCTTTCTTTCTTCATTATTTAACCTTCAGTACATGTATTATATCTCACTCTCTCCTCTCCTCTCCTCTCCTCTCCTCTCCTTTCCTCTCAGATTGAGGACCTGTCACAGCAGGCTCACAAAGCAGCTGCAGAGAAATTTAAGGTGCCTGTGACTTCTTCTCCCCTGGCCCCACCTGTCCCACCCAGCCTCACCATCAAGGAAGAGAGTGAGGAGGAGGAAGAGGAGGTACTGTCTAAACTATTGTTTTACGCCTATTTATCACACTAATGTCAGTACAGTATGTACAGTATGTACTGACATTTCTGTAAAATCCTTTATTCTGTTGCTGTAACTTTATCCTTCATATGTCTCTGTGTCTCTGACTTTTTCTTTCTTTCACTACATCAGGTGGACGAGGGAGGTCTTGAGCAGAGAGACATTGATCTGGTGATGGCACAGGCTAATGTGTCACGAGCCAAGGCCGTCCGTGCGCTGAAACACAACAAGAATGACATTGTGAATGCTATCATGGTGAGGAGGAAGGAGGGGGAAGGAGGGGGCGGGAGAGGAAGAGGGTAGAGGGAGGGCAGCTGGTGTGAACAAAATAATGAGTCTAAGCCGATGGGGGGTGGGGGGTGGTGGTGGGTGGGGGTGGTGGTGGGGTGGGGGGGTGTTGTGGGGGGGGGGCTGGTAGAGGAGAAGGAGCAGAGGACAAATGACAAGTACAATTTCTCCCCAGTAACTGAGCAACCTCTACAGTTCTGTAGGTCATCAGTGCTGTTTCATGCCCACTAGGTGGCAGCAACACCCCACACTGAGATAACTGGGGTTGTTTAAGTGACTCTCATGATTTTTTACTTGACCGGGTGGGAAACCTTATGAGCCGCTGGCAAAAGTTTGCTTAGTATAAACACAGCCTCTCATCCTGAGTATCTTAGACAATTTTGTTTATTTAAGCAATGTAATATCTTCTAGACTGGCTCATGTTTTTTACTCAATAGTAGGGAGGACACTGGTATTTATTTTAGTTTAATAAATGAAACGCAGCAACCGTTTTCTTTACCATCTGAATTTTATTTGTTGTTGTATTGTTTTTATAGTTACATTTTTCTCACTTGAATCTTTTCCCCCTCTTTTTTCCTTCCATCTTTCTTTTCCTTTTATGTGTAGGAGCTGACCATGTGAGTGGAGGACAATTTGAAACCTGATCCCCCTTCTCCCAGCCTATAAAGCCTAAACGCCACTGACTCTTCTGTATCGCTGCTACTGTATGTTGCATCCCCAGTATCTGCCAAATAAAGTCTGTTCCAACGTGGGCTGTGACTGCACCATGAGATTGATTTTAGTGAACAGATTGCAGATAGTTTGGTGTTATTCATTTACTTATCTCTCTACCAACTAACCCTCACATGTTACCAGTGTAGAGATTCTGTTGGCCTGCTAGTTCCCAAAAGCCAGAAGTAAATGTTCACAAATCGACTACATCTTATCTAAATGTAAAATCTATTAAGCTATTTGTAAGTTTTGCTATTGCTACATAGCCAGCGTTAGCATTAGCAACTGTTTACTTACCAGTGTAGGAGCAACATTGCAAGCTCAGCATCAAACTGTCTTCTCCATCATGTCTTGTCTAGAACTGCAGTTAGCATGCTAACCAGCATCAGTCTCTGATAGTTATCCACTGTAGCCTCCAATCTGCCCTGAAGATGTAGCACTGCTCAGAGCGCCTATTATAACCTCTTGTAAACGCAACGATGGCCAAAGCTCTTGTAAAGCGACAATCACCACCAACTGCTCCTGGCAATAATAGCCCCTTTAAAGGTAAAAACAAAGCCAACATCCAACAAAATAATGGAATCTGCTATCACTCTCAAACCAATTCATACTAACATCTAAATGATTGTTTTTGTTGCTGCTAAAGGGCTGACAGGCCTGCAGCGTGTTTCCGAGCATTCAGAGCTGAGAAACACACAAATGCATATATTTCATCCATATCTCGTCTATATATCTTAATATATGTAAAAATACAGCGTGCTTGTAATTTATATGATAACAGATTGGAGCTTTAATGTGTGAAGCCTGTCATGGCGTGCTGTTTAAGTGTAGACTGTGTGAAATATAGGCAAGGCATATTAACATTTCTTTTTCTGGTAATGGGTTTTTCTTAAGAAACATTGCTAACAGGCTGCACTGTAAGATTACCATTTCATATAATTGTTTTATTGTTTTGCAGAGGCAGTCTGCAGATATTAAAGAAATACTTTGCACTGCTATATTGGTTTTTAGAAGTAGAAGATTTATGTCTTACAGTTATTCAGACCCTTAGTACCAAATGGAAAAAATGCTCATTACTCAGTGTTTACATATGCAACTGCTCAAATTGTCTAAAATGTTCCCGCTTTATCATATTCCATGGGGGGATTATTTTTTTTTCCAGAAAACAGTGACTCATATTCCAAAAAAATATGGTTGTGTCATGATTAACGTTTTCTTCTGTCTCTCTCTCTAATGTCATGCAACACTGATAACACTAGCATGCATGGACAGATGCCAAATGCATTTCTGACAATCTGTCAGCTTTATTGTACAAAACTGATTAGAGTACAAAACACATACAAGGTGGCAGGGTTCTGCTTTGACAAGTAGTAGCAATAACACACATACCAAGCATGTTGAGTCATCAGCTTTAAATTAAAAGCAAAGACTCCACAAGTAAATATGTATTCCCTGTCCTGACTGAATTAGTTCCCATTCTTACACAAATACAGATGTGAGGCTTTGATGTATTTCAGTGAGTGAAAATATAAAAGTACTGGAATTAATGAATGAAATACTATCACAGGAAATTTAAATGAAAATCAGGATTATACTTCACATAGTCTCTGGATATATGTTGTTAGTCATGTCAAACAGTAGTGCCTCTTTCATTTCAAACACTGTATCATACACACCCATGTCCAAATGACAAATATAGGACTTAAAGCCCAAGTGCATTTCATCTTTTAGAATCCATACAAGACTTTAACATGGGTCTCTACTAGGCAATAAGTGGTGCTCTCCTGAGTATTCACCATAGCAGTGCAGACAGATAACTTCCCTCTTGGTAAAAGGAATAAATGCCTTTGTGCCTGAGTCAAGTCTTAGGCATCTAGAAATCATTAGGACGTGGTTTTTGCTGGGAGAACGTTATTTTCAAAGTGTCCCTGGTTGGTGATATTTCCAGCTGGGTAGTATCTTGCCACCACGAAGGAAGAACCGTCTGATGCAGTGGCCTTACCAACACCCAGCTCTTTAGTGCTCTTCCACACCATTGCTGTGAAATGACCTAGGTGGAGAGTAAAAAGAGAAATAATAAGTAGAAAGAAACTAAAGGCAGAAAAGGCAGGAGAAGATGGAGTCAGAGTTGCACCTTAAGGGGCTGTTAGGATATGGTTGAAGCTAAGAGCTTCTTTAGTTCCTCTAAATATTTATAGAAGAAGGAATTTTAATTCCTCTCTCATTCATTAATCTCAAACCTCCGCCTTCTCCCTGTACGCTTAATTTCTTTCTTTCTCTAACAGGCAACTTTATATGAATCAGCGTGAATCACTGGTTGGAATGATCTGCTTCATGTGTGATTAAGTTAAACAGACTCATGCACACCGGAGTCTGAGGCTATGGGAAACCATCTGGAGGAATTAGGGCAGACTAGAAATGACGTGGGCTTAGGAGTGATATAGAGGACTGTGATTTCCCCTCAGTTTCCCCGTGGCTGGTCACAGAGTCAGTCACACACTAACTGAGGTGTGACACCAGCACGAGAATAACAGCAGCCTTCCCCGCCTGGGTAAACGTGACACTGAGACAGAGAAACTGACAACGAGTAAACAGAAAATGACAAAGACAAATAGAGCAAGAAATAGATACATTGAGATAAATACACAGATAAAAAGAAGTGAAGAAATGAAATGAGACTCAACAAGAGGGCATGAAAACACATGAGAAGGAGTGAGGAGTGAGTGAGGTTGAATTGTTTTGTTTTACACTATTAATGTTTAAATGAACATTAGCACATTTAGGTAAAACTATGACAGAGTGACTGAAGAATATATCAGTTTCATGAATTTAAATCAACGTGATGAGCTTATTTTAATTATTCTATTTTATTTTATAATATCAATTATTTTCCCAACCAGTTAATTCTGCTGATGAGTTGGCATGAATAGTTTACAATTTAAGATGCTTGTTTTATCTAACAGTCTAAAATCCAAAATATTCACTATCATTTTTTATTATGACAAAAACATTTTTAAAACAGAAAATATTGACTTTTTAAAAGCCAGTACCAATCATTTTTTTTTGGCATTTTCCTTCAGAAATTACTCAAACTGATTGCTTAATTACCAAATAGTAACTGGCAAACCAATTAATCAACTAATGGTTTCACCTTTAAATTATTTTACATGTGAGTTTATAGACATAAGCCATACTGTTTTATATGTTAATATATAATGATTACTCAGGATTATCCTGATATTGAATTCAGTTTGTTATGCTGTTGGTCAGAGGAAGTTTACCACTGACTGAAATATGAAAGAAAGTGCGACAGATGGACAGACACTCTTGTGTAAATCTCACCAGTGCCGGAGGAGAATCCAGGACGATTGAAATTGTACTGTTTCACTTCATCGTACCAGCGGTCTGCCACATCCTTCCCTGCACGAGCAAAGTGTAACTTTAAGGACAATCAAATCAGTCATGTGTCATACATGTTAATCGGAGTGACAATAAAATAAGAAAACTGCACCCTGCAGCTACAAATCCCTTTTGGACACATCTTGTTTACGGTGCTGCACTTTTTGTTGCCTGATGCAGCACTCTAGGAGATGTTTTATGAATCACATGGTCCTGTTCTAACATATTTCTGCCATGAGTCATGGGTGCCTGAGGTCCCAAACACACAGTGAACTAGACGGGAAATAGATCCCAGCTGTTCAAATGCATGGTGAGAAAGTCTGCACGGAGCTTTAAGCCCCATAGACTAAACTATTGCATCTATTGAGGGATGTGTCTTATGCATGTATGTCCTACATACACACAAGTACCTCAGGGGGACCAAAGTGTGTAAGTGTGAGAGAATAGCATGAACATATACAGCTAATCATTTAAGTGTGTGTGTGTGTACCTGATTGGTCATAGGACGCCCACGCCAGGTTCTCTCCACAGCTCCCTCTACTGGACTCCACACTGTGTTTCAGGATCCTTGTGCTGGCCAGACTTTCAGCATAACTGTGGTAAAAGACAAAAGGAAGTTGGCAGTAGTACTGCTTAAATTGTCCTTTTCACATTTTCACAATGAATCCTGCTAAAAGCTGATTTCTACACTGGATAGATAACTGGTATGAGTGGTGTTTACTTTACAGCTTGTCTCAGTTTTGAAAAGCCTCCTGCACTGTGCTGTCCTCCACCCTCAAGATAAACAGTGTGAAACATCCTTAACTTAAAGTATAGTCAAGTGGAAAAACCGCAATGTAGGCACAGAAACCAGTTCTTTAAAAGACTGCTTTTGATAGTTGGATCGGTATTGTGCTGATTAGAGAGTTCATATATTATCTTTATGGACTAATTGCACAGTTCTAAAGTTCAGTCGTTACAATGACAGATATAGTGCTGATGCAGTGACATCCACTTTGCTCAAGTCTGTAGGTGCGTTACTGCATCTTGGCCTGGTAGTAACTTATTCATGTCTCTATTTAAACCACTGCATTGACAATTATGTGGCCATATGACCTCAGTGACTCCTACAACATGGCGCGGATCAACCACAGGCCTTAAATGCCAGGGAACTCCCTCCTCAGCAGAGCTATTGAGGCTTCTTGGATGAAACTTCTTCTACTCTACAAATGTAAATCCAGTCCACTTTGTCACTTATTTTGTTGAATTATGTTATTTATATTCTAATTATACAAATTATTCCCAAGACATGCAGCGGTGAATGAGCGTATGATGCCTCAACCTTTCTCCTGAGCAAGTGTGAAAGCAACATTTTGGCAAGCCCCGTTACAAATCAAATCAGTGCAAGTCAGTTGACACAGAGGGAGAACTAAACATCACATTCCAATGAACTGCAGCACTTTAAATTGCAGATAATCTCTGAACTCAGATATTTACCATCATAGATATTAACACTATACACAGTATATAGAATACACCCATAATAACAGAGGTGTAGATTTTTGTATTAACATTACATACTGTAGCCTGAGGCCAATTATTTAAAAAATACATTTCAATACATTAAAATCACCTGAAGAATAAATATTCTTTTTTTCTCAGTGTAAATATTATTGTGCTTTGGATGTTAATGTATATTTTCATGTCAAGTATCATAAAACTAAAGGTTTTATTAGCATCTCACTGTTATTGTTGCTATTGCACCATTAAACAGAGTATTATGTAAGACAGTCGCCTCTATCCATTCTCAAAGTACTAAACATGTTTGGTGTTTCAGTAACTTCTGAGACTTTTTTGGGGTTAATGATACAGAAGGTCTGGAGATTAAGTTTCATTAAAACCTTATTTGAATAAAATGTTAATATAGCTGCAATTACTTGCAGCAAATTATCAACATAACCTCTAATCGCAATAAAAACAAACCAAAGACCCTTGATATTGTATTATATGTACTAGTTATTGCATGACAGGCTAGACTGGGACTGTCACTGTTATCCAGAGTAATTTGACTCCCTGCTAATTAGTTTTCTAATTTGATCTGTGTGTGCATTAACCAACCGGGCAGCCTCTCTGCTCAACTTGCTGCTCAGCTTCAGTGGAGGAGCCTGGTGCTTCTTCCTGTACTCATTATGGCATCGCAGAACCTCCTCAGCAAACTGCTTTGAGGCTGAGAGACATAGAGGATGGAGACAGAAGGGTCAGACAGCCAGAGCAAGAGAAATCTAACAAAGGAGATGTGATGATGCAACATGAAGACTCATACATGACTGCAGAGCACAAACTCGAACTGAAATCTGAGTTCACCACCTGCGGACTGACCTCAGACAGTGAGTACTAACTCCATGACAGATGATGCAGAGTAGAAAACGTCATCCATGTCACACACACACACACCCCCCACCCCCCCTTTGCCCGGTGCCTATCACTCACTGGCCTTTTCATAAGTGCTACAAGCTCTTGAGTGCTCACACACAATGGGCACATTCAAATAGTCACACAGAAACAATACAAATACCAATGCTGCCAGCATTTACTCAGCATGCTGCAAGATGAATCTTAACTAAGAACCAGAGAAAGCTGTTTTGAAATCTCACTGGAAGCACCATTAACAAGGAAACGATATGAGTGAAAAAGAAAGAAAAAAGGTTTGATTTGCAGTTCTGTATTTTTAAAAGAAAAAAAGAGAAGCAAAGCTCACAGACACATGCAGTAAACAAGCAAGCACTGACAGTTAAACACACACACACACACACACACACACACACACACACACACACACACACACACACACACACACACACACACACACACACACCGTTTCACTGAGGAGGTAAAGTTCTAACTCTGGCCAAGCTGATACAATCAAAGTAAAAAATTCTCTGAGTGCAGTTTCCACTTACCTGACTTTCCCATGGTGCTGACACAGGAAGCCTTTCAGTGAGATCAGTAATAAGCTTGAACGAAATCAGCCTCTCCCCTGTCTCGTTTTCTGTTCCTGCTCTCTTTCTCTCTGCCTCTCTCTCTGTTGCTTGCTCCCTCTCTCTCTCTCCTCCTTTTAGTGCTGTCTATCCAACGCTGATGCTCTGAAGCAGCTGCTAACACTTTTATTTTGGGCCTTTCCTTCAATTCCTTCGATTCCACCTTGAAGATCGAGCAGTTGTGCAAAGTTCCCCTTTAGCTATTTATCTGCATGTAGTGATCATTACATAACTTCCTGAACCCTTGTTTCACTTCATTTAAATAACGTGTCTATCTGTCTTGTAGCCACACACCCTATTATCTGTATGCTCTCCATCTATCTTTATGGCTCAGAGGAGCACACACCCACTGTGTCTTTACTTTCCAATAAATGAAAAGGGAGCCCCTGCAGTGGTTGGTGACATCATCTCTGTGAGACACATGCCCATATATGGCATATGGACACATGCCTTTATATGGCATATGGGCATGTGTCTCACGGCGTAATTGCTCCTTGCAGCCATAGCTGGGACAGTGACTTTTCTTACAAACTACACTGTCATGATGCGGCGCTTTGCCATAGATAATGGGCCACTGAACACCATGGCATGGGGGAGAGGTCATAGAGTGTGCTCACTGCTATTTCTGAACTGACATATCTCACCTTTCAAAACGTCCTTTCACTTTCACTAAAGCAGATATTTTCAAAGTGCTATGGTCTTTAAAACTTTACAGGAAACTTTCCACCTCTATCTTTCGGTTCCTGCAGTAACTTCTGGATCAATAAGTTATCCCATTACACCCACTTATTCCTTAACCTCCATCCTGGATGAAAAAAACAATGATTGAGCAATATGCTTACTGCAGATGACACACAGGGAAAGGCAGAACCACCATTCATCGTGATGCAGAACAGGTTTCTACTATTTGTTTTGTCTGTATGAGGTATGCTGCCTTCTTTGCGTTAATGGTATTTCCAAACTGATATATTCATCATTACAAAAAAAAACAAAAAAACACACAAATGACACCTGGTTTAACAAAGGCAGGAATGCAACAGAGCCTCACAATGGATTGCCTAATATTTTACCGCACATCTCATAACTCAGCTTTTAAAATCGTCTCTCCAGTTTTTGTACAGGCTACAGCTTGTATAAAGAATGAATACTCTTTTTCTTACACCCTCTAAATCAATAGGACTTCAGTGTGTCAGCACCAAAGTGCTGTGATAAAACTGCTTAATGTATAACAGCAAAATGCTGAGGCTTGACTGGCTAATCTCCCAGTTGTGAATTAGAGTTTATCCACACTTTGTTAGGCCTGAATGAATCAAGGTCAGTAAACACACACAATAAGGCTATTGTGGGAGTATCTGTTACTGCAGAGTGTGAATGTAGTCTACCTATAGAGTAGGTTAGAACAAATATTGATTATTGATTTAATGAAATTCTGTACAGACATTCATAATCCCCAGGGGATGAATCCCTCTGACTTTGGTGACCCCCTGACTTTTCCTCTAGCACCTTCATTAGGTCCAAACTTCAGTTTGTCCAGTACTTTGATTCATATCCATAAACCTGCAAAACTGATGACGTTCCCATCACCTGTGCTTTATATTCATGGCCGCGGAAAGTAAGGGTGCTGCGGGTGCTGCAGTACCCCCTAGTGGCGAGAGGATCATTTTTCTATAATGTTGACATGTACTACTCTTCCTCAGAATTACTTATTCTTACCCTCTTTATACAGTATATGATTCTTGCCTAAACCCTAACCACTCAGTCCTCAACCAATCCAACCAACATAGGCAGTGATCACTAGCCAATCAGAGGCAGAGAAGGTTGGTCATGTGAACTCTATGGTAAGATTCCTAACTTTGAGTGCTGTTTCTATAGTATTGACAGCTAATTCAAGGATTAAATCGCAATGGTGCAAACCACCAGCAAACCACCAGCAAATAAAGGTCCAGCTGAAGTCCGGGACAGCAGGTTTTACTTTAGTGTCCGAGACGAAGACCACCGTGCCAGCACCGCCCGGAGTTTCAGCCCTTAGCACCGCTAACACTGAGGGGGCCTGCTGCTACCGAGTGTCAGGTCAGGACTGACATGGCGGCATGTAAGGAGCCACCCCTCGAACTTCAAGTTTCTTGCCAGACGTTTTGGAAAAGAAATTTTCAGCCGCGCATTTATACAATTTTGTTTGCTGACTGGAAGTGGCTTCATTATGTGGCAGAGAGTGTTCATGTTGTGTGTTTTGCTTGTATGAAAGCAGTGGGAAAACTGATTGATGAAGACAGTTTTAGGGCTGAAAACCCCTTCCTGAAGGGCGGCTTTTCAAGATGGCGTAAAGCAATTAAGAAAAACCAAAGAGCACTAGATCTAAGTTGCACACAACACAATACAAAGGCATGCTGCTTTAAGATGGACTAATGTGCCGATCGAAGCCCTCTTGTTTGATGCTGCTGCCGTCCCATCTCCGTGGCCTCATCCGAGGACCTTCTTGCGTCACTTCAAAACATGACTACGGAACACCATGACCCAGAAGAGACTGACTCACCTCTCCGTGTTGAAGGTCCACGGTGACAATTTGAACTCATTGGACATCCATGCCCCATCCATACCCAATGCCCGAACGCAAGGCCACCTTTGGATTATTGTAACTACTGGAGCACATTGTCTACAGCTCAAGGTAAGATATTTGGTTTATTACAAGCTGCCGCCGAGCAGTTTAATAGCCCGTTGTCAATATATTTTAATGTCACACTGATATAGGCCACATTTGCTGAAAAAATTGGCATATTTGGATATGTTCTTGTGTGCTGTGCGCAATGAGCTTTTGGACCTGTTACAATCGAGGCATACATCTGATGGTGCAGTAATGCAGTATTGCCCAAGCAGTTAATAATTTAGTTGCCAATAACTTAAAACACACTAATAAACACTAACAAAGCAATGGCATTATTGTGTTTCTGTGTTTTATAGACCTTGTTGTTGTTGTGGTCGTGGTCTGTGTTGTAGTGGCATTGCTGTAGCCCTATGTTGTATTTGTATGAAGAGACACCGATTATGATTTTTTACAAAATAAGCTCCAACATGTATTTGCAAAAATGCTACTCCCACTACAGCACCCTCAACATCTCCCCGCGGCCCTCTTTATATTTAGTGTTAAATAGCAAATATAAGCATGCTAACACACTAAACTCATATGGTGAACATGGTTAACATTATACCCAATAAACATTGGCATGTTAGCAATGTCATTGTGAGGATGTTGCCATGTCAGTGATAGCATTTATTTATCTCAAACTACTGTGGTGCCCAAGTAGGCTACAGCTTCACAGAACCGCTGGCATGGATTTAGACTCTTCTCCTTGCCACATTTTGTATTTCTGTCTTGGCAACTGATGCAGCATTTCATCCTGTGAATACAATAAATCATAATTCCAAAGACAGCCTCATAAATGAGTCATATTAAGCTGAATGTCAGTTTGCAGTCTATGCGTCAGCTGTAAAAGAGGTCTAACAATCACTGTTTGTATACGTGAGTTCTTCAGTCACATCATAAGGCGACTCTGAAAACCCACAAAGAGGCCAGATACAGAAAACACAGAAAGACCACAGTGTGAGAAAGAAAAATAACACTATGATGCTCTATGGACAAAAACACTGTGGTCACATATAAACTTTCAAAAACAATGGCAAACCAAATGTACACATAGATTCTGAGACATGTCATCATCAGTCCATTTAGACCTACACATAGCCTACTGTAAATAGGCCTTTTTCAGTACCATTTTATATCTATTTACATTACTGCCATACCTCCATGCATTCCCTTTTTTGCAGCTGTCAGTGCTAAAAAAAAAAAAAAAAGCTAAATTAAATCTTCTCTGAGATACAGTATAAGACTAATTCATGAATCATCATTTGAAAATATAACCAGGCACAATGGGAGTATGTAAAATAATACATGCCTCCATTTTAGATTAAAAAAAGACTTAAACTCTGGGCAATTTGAAATTGTGTGTTTATTATTATCATTGTTATAATACAAGAGGCCAAGCAGGAGCTGAGGATATTTCCTGTGGGCTCACTGATTTTAATCCACTCCATTTATAATAAAGGAAGTAAACAATATGAGTTTCTAAATTAGGTTTTAACTCAGAGCTATGGCATTGCATTGTCAAATGTGTCAGTTACTTTGCCAACCCCCTCTGTGATCCTTTCACATGTAATTATTTAATTTGCCACAAGGTGGGACTATTAGCAAAGACACAGGACAAGGATGTGGTTGTGACTATTAGTCACACTAAGTGCAACTAATGACATCTTGGTTTCATAATATGAGTGGACATGATGGGATTTGTGTGAAAAGTCAAGCCACTTGATTTCTCATTAGCCGGATAGTGCTATCTTAACAAATTGATTTCCTTCTTGCCTCCTCCTACCATCTGCAGAGTGATAGGACTGGACAGCTGGAAGAAGACATTTACATAGTGGTCTAGAGACACTGGGACTTTACAGCCATACATCTTAATTCATACTAATTGAGATATCTGTGTGTGCATTAAGGTGTATGTAGTGCAAATATATGTATTTGTGTGCACGCATGCACATGTACTAGGAGGAATGATAAGATGAATTATAGAGAGAGCCACTTTTAGAGGGACAGTACAGACATTGATCCATGCAGATATTACATCATTTATCTCTGCACATTGGCTATATCTGTTGTACTTATTGCTTGGCTCCCCTCCCTGTCAGCTGCGACATCGTTCCTTTGCTGCTCCTCTCCTCCCCATCACTTTCCCTCAGTCTCTCATCCCCTCCCTCCATCCCTCGAATCTGTAATTTTCATTTTTTCCTCACCTGAAGCCCCTACTGAAAATCTTCCAGCAGATCCCTTATAAAAAGAAAGACACACAAATTCTGTCTCGGCCAGAAATAATTTTCCATTTCCATCATGACTGCAGTGGATGTGGATTTATGGCAACAGAAATGTGAAACAACTGGGGCTGTAAGTGCACTTAGTTGCATATAATTCCTCTTTAGTAGTCCCAGGAGGAAGGTGAGGACTTTTTAATAACTCCTTCCATTCACCTCCATCCTCATTAAGAGGTCTAGTTGAGTGAAAATGCAGAGATCTACTGAGAGGGTGTTGAGAGGATTGATCTCAGCTGAGAGAAAGAGAAGTGAGGGGGCTGCACTTTTTCGAAGGAGTTGTTGGAAGCTCTCTCTCCAGAGCTCCGCTCCAAAATTTGACACATCAAGAAGCCTTTTATGGTGTCATTAGTGCAACTGTTCCACCGAGGACAGATGATTCTG